TGCAGAGGCCGCGGCCGCTGCGCGCCGCGTTGCCGCGATCCCCGGTGGGCCGGGTAGCCGGCAGGGCGCCGACTACGCGCGGCAGCTCGCCGCACGGGTGTCGGCGGCACTGGTCGCGCGGCTCGCGGACCTCCTGCTGGCGGCGTCGCAGGGCGGCGGGCCGGGCTCCTGGATGGGCGCGCGGGCGTAGCTCATGTTTGATGTGGCGGCATAGTGCGACCATTGCCGCGCTCCAGGGGGATCGGGTATCACCATCACCGTCACCATCACCATCACCAACACCAGCGGCATCCCATTCCCGCCTCAGCACTCCCACATCCATTTCGGCACACCCCTCACGAGTTTCGTGGCCCCATATGAAGCTCCACCGAAGGCCCCAGTGGCAGGTGTCCATTTCGGCACGCCCCTCGCACGTCTCGGGGCCCCGTAGGGAGCCCCGCTGGAGGCCCCAGTGGCAGGGTCCGCCTAGCGCCACCGTGTCCATGTGGGTACACCCTTCACACGTTTCGTGGCCCCACAGGGAGCTCCACCGAAAACCCCAGTGGCAGGGTCAGTATGGCGCCATCGTGCCCATTTCGGCACACCCCTCACACGTTTCGTGGGCGCATGGCGTGCCCGCGCCCGATTCGGCACACCCCTCACACGTTTTGTGGCCCCGTAGGGAGCCGTCCCTCGTTCGTCCCACCTGCCTTGCGGTACTCGCATCCACGCATGGTTGGGTCTTCCGCCAGGATCATGGCTGTAAGGTGCATGGGCGGGACGGATTTTGGCGTCTTGGGGGCATTTTTGGGGAGGCTGTGTGGCCACTCCCGAGCCGACCTGGAGAGGTCTTGGTACCTTTTGGAGGCACGTCGGATGCTATCTTGAGCCATCTTGCGATATCTTGTGCGATCTTGGAGGCCATATTGGGCCATCGAGGGCCATCGAGGGCCATCTCGGAACGCCTTTTGGGTCCATCTTGGACGCTCTTACACAGCGGAGGACTTCCCCTAATTGATGGAGTCAACCCGCGTAATAAGGATGGGCAACCTTCCCAAGGGTACCCTTGCATCCTTGCCCCTTCGGCCCATCCTTGGCCACCTTCGCTGGCCGCGCCCCGCTCGGGCAGCTTCGAAATGGGCGTCCAAGGCCATTGCATCCTGATCGCGCCTCCTTTTCACACGGGTCGACTGTAGAGTGTGTGAGCCCATCCAGTGGCCCCCAGGACACAAGACAGGTGTGTCACGCAACCACGGCGAGGTGATCTCCAAGGATGCCCACGGCCGCTCCCAGTCCGGCCACGATGGCCTCACGACGGCCCACGAGGCCCCCAAGACGGCCGAAGAGGTTCCCGAGAGGGCCCTCACGAGGGCCCCTGGAGGCACACATTAATTTGTCCAGGTTTCTCATACTTTCGGTGCAGCCGCCCGAGGCGGCCCGAGGCGGCCACCCAAGTCTCTCAAGGATGATCCAGGAGGCGGAAAACGACGCGAAGATCGGGACAAAATCGGATCGGGATAACTCGAAATCTCTGAGAATCGGCGGGTTTGGAGGATGTATTGGGCGCCGCGGCCGCTCCAGAGCGTTTTGGAACGCTCTGAGAGCGCTCCGGAACGCTCTGGAGCGATTTATCCCGATCCTAGCCTTGTTTTGAGGCGCCAAATAGGGCCCCACAGGGCGTCGACAGGCCTCCGAGTCTGCCATAAGGGGTGCCCAGGAGGCTTCAAGATCCCTCCAAGCCGCCAACGGGCCGACAGAAGCCAGCCACCACTGGGCCCATTTGGGCCCAGAGGTCCAGGCCTCCCAAAGGTTAAGTCGGGCCTGTTCCTCTACAGGGGGAATATCCAAAGATAGGCGAAAAATAGTCAGGGGACTATTTTGTTTAGCATTTTTCGACAATTTTGGAGCTTTTTTAAAGTATTTTTTATTTCTCGTCGAAGATTCCCCTGTAGGGCGACACGCCCGACTTAACTCAAAGGCCCCCAAGAAGCCCCAAACGACACTCCAGTGCGGCAGGCTACCCACGAAAGAGGAGCACGGTGGACCAGCCGGGAAAATATGAGCACGGCAGCCCAGCGCGGAAGTCACACTTTCTGGGCCCTGTGCCTCTCCCTTTCGGCTATCCTTGCGTGGGCGAGGGGGGGAGCCTTGCGGCTTGGACCCCCCCCCCTGTGAAAGCTGGTGGTGAACTCCTCCAGTGGGCCCCAGGGCGTAGTACCTACGTGTCACGCATCCAAGGCGGCTCCAGTAAGGCGGACTACGGGCGGCATGGGCGCCGGTTCGGCGGGCAAGGCCGATGTGTATGGCTCAAGCACGGGGCATCGGCTCTGCTGCGTTGAGGCATCCCCGGGGTCACGGCACGGCCCGACGTGGGCACGTGCCCCTCAGGAGGGTCCCAGAGAGACCAAAATCATTGCGATGGTTTTCTTCAATGGTCTTGCATCTTTCCGCGCATCTCCGCTTCCGGCGTGCTCTTGAGGCTTCGACAAATGGGGGGGCAGCGAGGGTTGCAGGAAGGGGCCCTGTAGGGCCCCGGAAAGGGGCCCTTTAGGGCCCCACAGGGGCCTGCAGGGTCCGAAAAGGGCACCTTTCTTCCCCCCCATGTATCGCCCCCCTTTAATTCGCGCCCAACCAAGAGATGCCCCAGGAGGGCCCAGGAGGAGCCCAAGACGGCTCCCGAGGCCCCAGGGAGGCCCCAGAGACGTGACCAAGAGGGCCCCAGATCCGTCGGAGTTGCGAAAATGACAGCAAAAGGGCCAGATAGCCTCGAGAGACGAAGATCACGGAGGAGCTCGGGGTTGCTCACTGATTTTTGCCAGTGTGCTCTGCGCCGCGCTGAGCATCTCCTCTGCAGGGCGAGGCAAGGCCAGACGACCTCCAAGATGGGCCCGAAGAGGAGAGACGCCGGCCCAAGACGGTCCCAGAGGGCCTGGTCGGCGGCGGACCCGGGGGGAAGTGTGAAGGGGCGGGCCTTCTCAGAAGGCTCGTAAGCCCCCCGGCCCTCTGAGAAGTGTTCTGAGCCTCCCCCGAAGGCAGAGAACACTTCTCAGAAGGCGCGAGGGTTTCTGAGAAGTCCCGGCGCCTTCTGAGATTCGATTCGATTTCCCAGGGTTTCGATTCGATCCGACTCGATGCGAACATCCCGATTCACGATTCCGATTTCGAGCTCGCCCGATCCGATTCCTGCCGATTTCGATTCGGCAGCCGACTTCTGCCGATTTCATCCGATTCAGCTTCGCTGCGGCGTCGTCGTCGCCTTCCCTCCCTCCCTCGCCGCCCTCCCTCGCCTCCCTGCCTCGGCGAAGCCCCCGGCACGGCGCTCGCCCAGGCCGACTCCGCGGGCCCGGGACGCGGCTCCGCCCCCCCCTCGACGGCGGCGACGGCGGCCTCTGGCGGCGACGTCGGCTCGGAGGGATCCCGCCCGAGGAGGGAGGAGGGAGGAGGCGTCGCCGTCCACACCCCGCCCCCGGAGGGCTCCCCGAGGGGCCCCCGACTTCCTGGACGGTCCCCCGAGGGGCTCTCCGACCCTCTCCGACCCTCTCCGAGGGAGGGGGAAGGAGTTCGCCAGACGGGGCTGGCTGTGCGAAGCCCCCCAGGGGGGGGGGGTTTGGCGAAATCCCCCGTGCGAAACCCTTCACGGGGGGGTTCGGGTTTCCCAGCCTGCCCCCCAGGGGGATTTTGGGTTTCTCCAATCCCCCCCATGGGGTTTGGCGGACCCCAAAATCCCTCCCGGGGGGGGGGGTTTGGCGAAACCCGAACCCTTTCCGGGGGCCCCCCCCTGGGGGAGTTTGCGGTGCGGATCCCCAGGCCAGCCAAGCTTCGACGGCGTCGGGCGATTTTCGACGACACACGCGACGATTGCGGCGAGGATTGCGACGACGATCGACGTTCGACGTTCGACGTTCGAGGATTTCAGTAGCGAGTTCCACCAGAGGACGCGCAGATTGTGTCTGCCGATTTCGAATCCGATCTGGCGTCCATCCAGCCGGTGTACGATTCGATCCGACTCGGTCCTGCCGGCTCTTGCCGTGTTCGATTTGGCAGCCGACTTCAACCGATTTCTGCCGATTCGATGCTCCGGTCGACCCGATCTGGCTCATCTATTCGATTCTGGGACCGCCTGTCTTTCTCATGTCCCCCCTCGCTCGCTGCCAATCTGGGTCAGGCGCCAAAGGGGCCTCCAGCGCGCCACCAGACGGCCCCAGGTGGCCACGGGGCCTCTCCAGACGCGCTCCCGACAGGGCAACGACAAACAACGCAACCATTATTTGATTCAAGGACTTTGGAGCCGTATTCGCTTTTTCCTGGATGGTGGTACACTACGACCACTGAAGAGTATCACAGAGGGGGTGGGGGGCCCTAGATCGCTTGGTCTGGCAGCCGCTTTGCCTGAGACTTCCGTAGCGAGCTATTCAAGAATCGTTGTCTCGCCTCGGTGCCAGCGTTTTGGGGAGTCTCGACGGCCACGGGCCCTGGTACAAAAATACTGAGGTGCACATGGCTCCACCTTTGCTGCTATGAGGGCGCTCGGTGAATTCGCTCCCGATGGGGTCATGCGTCCCCATAGTGGCTTCGAGACGGCCCGAGAGAAGGGCCGGGAGGGGCCGATGACGTCCCCAGGGACTTCCCAGGCAGCAGCCGCACTACTGAACTCGGGCAGGGGAACTCGTCCAGGGAATGCTCGGCCAGACTGCACTCGGCCAAGCTGCACGCGGCCAGGCTGAACTCGGCCGGCTGGACTCGGCCAGGCTCCACTCGGGCGGCCGATCTCGGCCAGGCCGAAAACGGCCAGGTGGAACCCGGCCCCGGCCGAGCTCAGCCCGGCCCGGTCTCTCCTGGCCGAGTTCGGCCAGGCCGCGCCCTTCCCTCGTCTCCAAGAGCCTCGGGTGTCGCCGGGGCCGTCGTCGTCGCGGGCTCGCCGCCGCCGCCGACGACGACGACGACGACGACGCAGCGCAGGCGCGGGCGCTCGGGGCGCGGGCGGCCGGGCAGCGCCGCGGCCGCGTCGGCCTCCGCGCGCCATGCTGCCCGCGGGCCCCGCCGGGGCCCTGCTGGCGGCGGGGCGGGCGCGGGCGGCGGGCGCGGTGCGGGCGCCCCGTGCGGCGGCGGCGTGGCCGAGGCGGAGGGGCGGCCTGGCCGAGCCCTGGCAAGCCATCCCCTGCCGTGACGGCCCCCTCGCCTCGCCGGAGCTTGCCAGTTTGAAGCATATTCCTATCCCTACGTCCCCAGACCCCCTCGAGTCGTGAAAAAATCACGACGGGAGGTTCTTCATGATCTTCGGCCTCTGGGGGCCCTTACTGGCCCTCGGGACCGTCAAAAAACGACTCAGGATGAAAAACCGGTCCTGGGGAATGGGTCCAGACCTCTGGGGGTCGACGTCATGAAAAAATCATGACGTCGGGGGTCTGGGTCTGACATCACCTCACCCCGATGCCGGTCTTGGGTATTCCCTCGGTTTCCGAGGGCCTATCCCTCGGAGTGTCCTCGCTTTTTGCTCGCCCGTCCTAGGGACGGATAAGTTTGAGTTCGAGGCTGGTCAGGAGCGGCCTTGTGGGTGCCGGCCCGCCGGGGTCCCCCCCGGGGCGTCGAGCGCGGCGCGGTGGCGGCGTCCTGCGCGCCGGTGCGCGGTCCCGCCGCGGCCCCCAGAGAGCCGCGCCGCAGAGGTCGCTCGTGTACTCCAGATGTCGCCATAAAAGGGAGGGGGTCACAACCCTCACAGACGGGCAATTCCAGACCCCCCAAACAAGCCATGAAGGGCGGCTTTTTGCCCAGACCCACTGGAACCCTCCAAGACAGCTCAAATCTGACCCCATCCCAAATCAGACCACCCCCCTTTTATTGTGAAATCTGGAGTAGCCGACGTCCCCCTTTGCCTCGCCCCAAGACGCAGGTATGCGGCCGGAGGAGGGCTTGAAAGGCGAGGGTGACGTCACGCAGAAAGGTGACGGTTCTGCAAGGGGTGGGTGGGGCCGCGCCCGGGAGGCTTGCGGCCTCGTCCTCCAGGACCAGCCCCGGGCAGAGGGGGGCCGGGGAGGGGGGAGGGCTCTGCCCTCGACGAGGGCCCTTGCCATGGGAGGATTCTGTGGCATGCGGGATTGATGTTGGGGAGCGGTGGGGGGGGACCACCTCACGGCGGCGAAGGAGGGGGGGAAGTGAGACGGAGAAGGCCTTCTCAGAAGGCGGCGGGACTTCTCAGAAGCCCTCCGGCCTTCTGAGAAGTTTTCTGCGCCTTCGGGGAAAGTTTGAACAACTTCTCAGAAAGCCTGGTGACATCCGAGCCTTCCGAGAAGGCATTTTCCTTCTCACTTTCCCCCCTCGCTCGCCGCCGAACCTTGCTGACGCCTGCAGATCTAATACGTTATGCCCTCGCGGGCTTGCCTGCTGTTCAGTGCCTCATCGCGCCTCCTGCTCCGCTGAGTCAGCATTCGGGTGTTTTGCTTGGCTGCCGCACACGAGCGCTACAGGCTTGCTCCTAGAGTCCGCTCCACGCATAAAGGGGGGGAGGGCGTCTCAGAAGCACCCCTGCTTCTCCTCGGTAGGCGCGTGCTTCATCCGTAGATGGAGGGCCGGCACCTTCTCAGAAAGCAGCCTGCTTCTGAGGAGTTTCCCTCCCTCCCCCCGCCCCATCCCAGGCATCCGCCTGCTCCAATTTTTCCGATGCGTTTGCCCCGGAGGTCTGGAGGTCTGGAGGTCTGGACCATTTCCCCGCGGCGAGTCTTCCGTCCTGAGGCGCTTCTGGACGGCCCCCAGGCCCTTCGAGGGCCCCCGGAGGCCCCAAGCGGGCAGCGGCCGGCCGCCCCCGGAGCCGACGGGAGCAGACCCCCGCCGTCGGCCGCCCCCGGAGCCGACGGGAGCAGACCCCCGCCGTCGGGATTTTCTCGTGACGTCGAGCCTCAGAGGTCTCGACCCGCTCCCCAGGACCAGCTTTTCGTCCTGTGTCGTTTCTGGGGGGTCCCGGGGCCCAGAAATTACGGGCCCCCAGGGGCCGCAGAGAGCGGAGAACCTCCCGCCGTGATTTTGGAATGCCGCGATCCTCTCAGGGCTTGTGCGCGCCGCCGACAGTCGGCAGCGAGCGGGGGGGGTGAAATGGGAAGGAAAAGGCCTTCTCAGCAGGCGGCAGGACAACTTGTCAGAGGGCCGGGGGACTTCCAGGCCTTCTGAGAAGGCCCGCCCCTTCTCACTTCTCCCCCAGGCCTGCCGCCGACCAGGCCCTCTGGGACCATCTTGGGCCGGCGTCTCTCCTCTTCGGGCCCGTCTTGGAGGTCGTCTCGCCTCGCCTCGCCCTGCAGAGGCGATGCTCAGCGCGGCGCAGGGCACACACACTGGCAAAGATCACTGCGCAACCCCGAGCTTTTCTCCGTGATCTGCGCCTCTCGAGGCTATCTGGCCCTTTTTGCTGTCATTTTCGCAACTCCGACGGATCTGGGGCCCTCTTGGTCACGTCTCTGGGGCCTCCCTGGGGCCTCGGGAGCCGTCTTGGGCTCCTCCTGGGCCCTCCTGGGGCATCCCTCCGAAGGCCCGCCGCCCCCTGCTCGCTCCCCCCCGGGCCCGCCGCCGAGAGAGGACCGGCACCAGCTCGGGCTCCCGGGCCGCGCCCGCGCCGGGCCCGGGGCACGGCCAGCGGCCGCCCGGCCCCCTGGCGCGGGGGCAGGCGACTGCCGGCGGCGCCGCCGACGACTCGCTGGCGGCGTGGTGGAGCCGGCGGCAGGACCCGCTTCCCAGCCCTTGGTATCGCTCGGACGTGTGCACTCTGTCTCGGCGGGGATGATGAGGGAGCATCCCGGATCATCCCGCGAACACTCCCCGCACGAAACCGAGGAACGCACAGGTAATGGCCAATGGACGTCCGAACGACGGGGAGAACCTGCCCTTGGTCGGGCTCTCGTCTTGAGTGGAGTCGCGGTCTCCCTGCCCTTCTCCCCCTCCTCCCCCCGCCCTCCCCCCCCGCTCTTCCGCCTTCCTGCGCCTGCCTTCCCCCCCCCCCCGGCTCTTCCCTCGGCTCGCTCTCCTCGCAGCCCTCTCGGGGGCCGCGAAGTGGGGAGCAGTCGCCAGTTTCGAGGGCTGCTGGGTGAGCCAGCGCAGTGGGGTCCCGCGCAGGTCCAAGCGGGACCTCGCAATCCCTGGGGGCACTTCGAGGGCAAAAGCACGGGGACCACGACCAAGATGTCGCGAGATCTTTTCGATGCCGATCCTGGTCATGGTCTATGGCGGCCGTCTCCGAGTCGCGAGGATGATCCACGAAATGACGCTGACCGAGATTGACAGTACACGACGTTTCCGCGTTCAGTCTTTGTCATGGCCCCGTTTTTCTGCCCGCGCGGCGGACTGACTGCGGCCCAAATTTGCTCGCCTATGCTTACAGAGGTTGGCAGCAGGGGGTGGCTGGTGGGTCTTGTGCGTGTGCTGACATCATCCGTGCTCGCGGCCGTTTGAGCTCTGCAGCGCTCACAGCGCCCCAGGCCCACTGTCCACATAGACTGGTAGGTAGTTCCTGCCAGGCAGAGCGCACAGAGCTAGGCTGAAGAAGGCATCAGCAGGCACCTGCGTCGGGATTATTTTTTCGCCTGCGCGACGGACTGACTGCGGCCTCGCATCCCTTGCGGACGCGTGCGGTAGGTTCATGCGGCGGAGGGCCGCTTGCGACACTGGCAGCTGGCCCCTTCCGGGGGGCTCCTCGTCGCCACGGCTGGACGCTGCTCGGAAAACTGGTGCGTCTGGACCCCGGGAGAGGCTCGGTAAACGATTTCGAGCCGATCTTGAGTTTCCAGTGTCTCAACTCTCCCTTCTCCGATTCATGCGGCGATGGCGCGCTCGCGACGCCAGGCGAAGTCGTTCAAGGTTGAGCTCCGCATGATAGAACGACGCGGAATCACAGGGGCACGTCAACGCCACAGGACCCGACGGAACTGAACCTTGAACGACCGGGGCCGAGATCGGTTCAATGTTGAACGATCGACGCGGTGTCATAAACCCTTGCGCGCGCCGACGCCGCACGAGCCTACCGTATAGGCAAAATGAAAAGTGCAGCGTGCCCATACGAGCATGCGTGCAGTTATCGAAGACGCCTACGGCGAATCACCGCCGCCCCCTGCCTACTGGTCCGCCGGGGGAAAACATTGTCACCGTCGCCATTATCGCCGCTACCACCACCATCAGTATCATCATCACCATCATTATACATCATAATTGCCATCATCACCACCTCCGTCATCAACGTATATCCTAACCGCCATCATCACCACGGTCATCACCATCACCATCGCCATCACCGTCACCATCCTTGTTACCACCAGCATCATCACCATCATGACCGTCGCGCTCATCAGTACCATCATTTGCATCACCATCTTGGCCATCATCGCCGTCATCGCCATCATCATATTTTCATCATCAGCCCGTCATTATCAGTACCATCACCACCACCACCATCACCACCACCATCACCATCACCATCACCATCACCATCACCATCACCATCACCATCACCGTCACCATCACCAGCACCAGCACCATCACCATCACCAGCACCAGCACCATCACCACCACCATTACCATCACCATCACCATCACATTGGCCATCGCCGTCACCACCACCGTCGCCACCGCCCATACCATAGACCATCACCATCAACATCACCACCACCATCGCCACCACCATCGCCATCGCCATCGCCATCGTCGGCCTCCCGAGGGCCGCCGACTGCCTCCCAGCGCCCCCGAGCGCCTCCGCGGGCGCCCCCGAAGGGCCGCCGGAGGCGCCCGAACGCCGCCCAGGGCCCGCCGGGGGCCCCCGAAGGCCGCCGAGGACGGCCGGAGGTCCTCGGAGGCCGCCAGGGGCCGTCGAGTGCCGCCGAAGGCGGCCGGGGGCCGTCGAGGGCCTCCGAAGGTCGCCGAGGGCTGCCAGGATGCCCCGAAGGGCCTCCGAGCGCTTCCTACGGGGGCCTGCCGCGGCGCCCCCCCCCCCCAGGAGCGCGGCGCCCGCGTGCCGCGCCCCGACTCGGAGGTGGCGCTGCGGCTCGCGGCGGAGGCGGAGGCGCACGCCGCGGCGCTGCTGCCGGGCGAGGGGCACTCGGGAGGGAAGCAGAACAGACGGACACAATGCAGCGTCGATTCCCAGGAGAGTATGGGAAGATATGGGAAGGGGGGGGGGGAAGACAGAAGCCGAGGAGAGGTGGGAAAACATGGGGAATCTCGTGGTTCGTGGGTATTCGTCTGTGTGTCCTTGGGCCCCTCGAGGCACGTGCGGCAGAAGGACGAGTTCCTGCAGGCGCCGCCCTCGGAGCAAGTGGGCCCCCAGATGCGGCGGCGAAGCCCGACCCTCTGCCCTCGCCGGTCAGCGATGCAGGCGACTCGATGGGGGGCGGGGGCGGGGTTCGGATCAAGTCGGGCCTGTCCCCCTACAGGGGGATTTGCGACGAAAAACAAAAAAAACACCAAAACAACCCCAAAATAGTCAAACAATAGTCTGGGTACCATTTTTCGAATATTTTTGACCTTCTTGGGGTATTTCTGGGGGTATTTTTTTATTTTTCGTCGAAGATCCCCCTGTAGGGGGACACGCCCGACAGAAGGTTCGGACTCCGTCGAGCGCGTGGCGAAATCCAAGCCCGACCCTGGCCTCCCATCGATGCAGGAGTCGCTGGTCGGGGAGGGTTCGGGTTCGGACGTCGCCGCCTGCGGGCGCCCTGCTCGGCGGCTGCGGGAGGCGTGGTTGCACGGGGGTGTGGCTTGAGGTCTGCGTCGCTGGGGCCTGAGGGGCAGCACTTTGCCCTCGTGGGGCCTCGGGGCTCGGCGGATACTCCAGATTTCACAATAAAAGGGGGGTGGTCTGACTTGGGATGGGGTCAGATTTGAGCTGTCTTGGAGGGTTCCGGTGGGTCTGGGCAAAAAGCCGCCCTTCATGGCTTGTTTGGGGGGGTCTGGTATTGCCCGTCTGTGAGGGTTGTGACCCCCTCCCTTTTATGGCGAAATCTGGAGTAACTCTTTGGAGGTCCTCGCCCGCCCCCCAGGGTGCGGGCTGCAAACCACACCCTTTCCTAAGTACTACACCCTTCGGAGTCGCCAGCTCCTGCAGAAGCCACTCCGCCATGTCTTTGTCCTGTGCTGCGCCATGCTCGGCGTTCGGTTATGGCGCATGCCAACATCGGTGCCCACGATTGCTGAACGGGCCGATGTAAGAATGCCCGTGGCTGTACAATGAGCCGGAAGGGGCACGTTCGGCAGAGGGACAAGTTCCTGTAGGCGCCGTTGAGAAGTTCTTGGAAGTTTTCGTTTTTTGCGCAATTATTTTGGAGAGGGAGAAGGAGGGCAGAGGAGAGGACGCAAAACAAATATATTCTTGGAAGTTTTTTTTTTTTTTTTTTTTTTTTTTTTTTTTTTTTTTTTTTCCCCCCCCCCCGCAACTATCTTGGAGAGGGAGAGGGGGGGCAGAGGAGAGGACGCAAAACACATATATTCTTGGAAGTTTTCGTTTTTTTGCGCAACTATTTTGGAGAGGGAGAGGGGGGGCAGAGGAGAGGACGCAACGAAAACAGAAACATAATTTCTTGGAAGTTTTCGCGGGCTCCAGATCGGTGTCGCCCCACCGTGCTGGCACTCTGCGCGTGTGCGTCGCCCCCAGAGGGGCGACGCGCGCGCCGCGGCACCTCTCAGTCTAAGCTCCGTGGCGGGCACTCTCTGGCCATGCCGCTCGGAGAACGATGTATTGCATGATGGTTCTGCTATATCTCAGGAGTGAAAAAGAGCACAGACACAATTCGTCGTCGATCCCCCAGAAAAAATAGGGGGAAGTGTGGGACATGTGGGGGAAGACAGACACCCAGAAAGTGTAGGAAAATCCGGGGAATCCTGTTATTTGCCAGGGCCCCTTCGGTGTCGTCTGCTCGGGTTGGGCGCGCGCCTCCCAAGGAGGACGCACAGCACGAGCATGTCCCTGTGCGTCCCACCTCGGAGTGCTTCCCAGCAGCCGCGCCTCGCTGGGCGGCGTGCCCCCGGGGTGCCCGGGTCCTTCCGCACGGCTGCTGGAGGCGTGAGTCTTGTGGCCGGAAGCCCATTCAAGGGCGCCCTCGAGAGCGCGAAGTGATTCGCGCTTCGCGCTTCGCGGTTCGGCTCCGATTCCTCCTCGTCCTCCTCTTCTCTCCTCGGAGGCGGCGCGAGAGCGCGAAGTTATTCGCACTTCGCGCTTCGCACAGCGCGAAGCGCGAAGTTGGGAGCCCTTGACACCTCCTGCAGCCGCCGCGCCGCCGTGGAGCAGGCGGGGCCTCAGCTCGGGCGACGGGAACTTTGCACTTTTCCTTCCTCCTTCTCCCTCGTCCTTTCCTCCCTCCTCCTCCCCCTCCTCCTCCTCCTCCTCCTCCTCCTCCTCCTCCTCCTCCTCCTCCTCCTCCTCCTCCTCCTCCTCCTCCTCCTCCTCCTCCTCCTCCCCTCCTCCTCCTCCTCCGCCACCGAAGCGGCTCAGGATCGGAACGGCGGGGGCGGCACGAGGGCGAGGTCCGGCGAGTGCTCGCGCCGCCGCGGGGCAAGCGCAGTGCCCTGCTCGGGCGGCGAGGACGGCACACGCCGATTTTTTTTTTCGCTGGCGGCCGAGCACGTCGATTCCGCCGGGCGTTGCTCGGGCGAAGAGAACTATGCACACGCACTGGTCCTGGCCAGGCCCATCCTTGGCCCCAGGATCGGTGCGCATGCCTTCTCGGGCCCCAGATCGGCGTATGCACCGATCTTGGGCTCAGGACGGACCTGGCCAAAATCGGCGTATGTGCATGGTTCTTTTTCCTCTAGTTGCGGGTGCTGGATTGGGCTAGAGTCAAGTCGGCCCTGTCCCTCTGAAGGACGAGTATTCAAAGATAGTCAAAAAATGGTCTGGGGACGATTTTTGTTAAAGCATTTTTTGATCATTTGGGAGCTGTAGGAGGACAGCCCTGACTTACCGCTAGGGAGGTCGGCGTGCAAAAGCGTGAGTCAGAAGCCGGGTGAAGGCTGGCAAACCCGTGGCTGCTAAACCGGAGTTCCGGGAAATTGTTGTTGTTGTTTTCGTTTTTTGTTTTCTTCCGGGAAGCAGCCCGTCTTTTGTGTAGTGCGCTGAGCCTGGTTCCGGGGATTTGTTCCTTCTTTCTTCGGGGAAGACCGCTCTGGCAGCCACGGATTTGCCAGCCCTCGCCCAGTTTCCAGGTGAGAGGGGAGGCTGCGCAGGGCGAGCGCCCGCGAGGGAAAGCACCCGAGCGGGGGGGGTGGCCGTGCGCGCAAGCACGACGCGCTTTTTCGGGCGTCGCGGCCCCGCGCGCAGCGGAGGACGCGCGCGGCTGGCCCCCACTGAGGAGACGGAGGCGGGCATCCACCGCGGGGGATCAACAGTGCCGCGCGCACGGGTACGCGCTTGTCAGGCAGCGGCGCAGAGGATCCAGGCGGGAGCGGCAGACGGGAGCGCTACGTGCGATCGAACGTTGTCGAAGGCACAGTGTACAGCACGTGCACGCTCTCAATGCAGCAGCGGGTGGTGTGAAGGAGGAGCTGTAAATGCAAGCGACATGTGCAGCGGCCCCAGAACCGAGGAGGCGGCTCAGCTCGAGGTAAGCTGAAGCGCGAGCAGTCTGGTGCGAATTGGCGGCCACGGGATCACCGACGCGACGGTGTTTGGCAGCGAAGTGCAAAACAACGCGCACGCACAAAAACACCGATCCTGGTCGGGCCCGTCTTGGGTTCAGGACTGGTCTGCATGCCCTCGTGGCCTGACCAGGAAGGCGGATGCATCGATCCTGTGTCCAAGACGAGCCTGGTCAGGATCGGAGCATGTGCACACCTCCTTCTGCTCGTACCAGGGGAAACGGGTCCCGAGATTTGTGGCAGTTTTTTTAGGGGTAGTGCGCCCAGCACCGCCCAAACGTACCTGTTCTAGGTGTGCGTCGGCCCCGCAGGGGCGACGCGCGCGCGGTCGTACCTCGCATGGTGTCATCTCGGTGGTGGACGCTTTCTGGCCGTACCGCTTGGGGGATGACATGCTAGAATCGATTCGTGTTGTGCTAGCCTGCGTGGACCCTAAATAGTGTGCTCTAGCATAGTGCATGATGCAAGGTTTGTGGTGGAGCCCACGTGGCGCGAGACATGTAGTGACAGCTATGTGGGAAGCAATGCAAAGCAACCCAAAGCAACGCAAAGCAGTGCAAAGCAATGACAAGCAATGTGCAGCAATGCAAAGCAAAGCAAAGCAGTGCAAGTCAATGCCAAGCAATGCGTACCAATGTAAAGCAGTGGAGAGCAATGCAAAGCACGGCATAGCAATGCAAAACAATGCGAATCAATGATCCTCAAAGGCAGTGCACCGCGATTGCAAAGCAGTGCGATTGCAATGCAATGACGCAACAAAATGCGAAGCAATTCAAAGCAAGGAAGAACAATGCAGAGCAATGCAAACCAATGCAACGTGATGCTAAGTAATGCAAACTAGTGCACAGCAATGCGCAGCAATGCAAAGCGGATGGCGACGAGGCGGCGGGCGGTGACGAGGTGGCGACGGCGGCCACACGGCGGCCAGAGCGTCCCGTTGGCCCAGTTCTTTGGGATACACGTAAGAAGCCCTAAGTGCAAGGACTGTATCCGAAGTATGTTCAGTTCGGACGTGCGTGCACACGTTCTTCTGCGTCTCGTGGGGCCCTCCCTGGGCCGCAGGACCGCCCCAGACCCAGCTCGGGTGGAAGGCCCAGACCTGCGAAATCAGTATGCATCTATATATGTGTGTATATATACATATATATATATACACATCGCAACGTCGACTCCTGGAGGTCTCGGCCCATTCTCCTCGACCGGCTTGTCATCCTGAGTCGTTTTTTTGCCTGGCGAGGGCACCCACAGGCCGAAACTACAGCAAAACCTCCCGTCGTGATCTTTGGACGCCGCGATGGTGTCTGCGGAGCTGGCCCCGGGGAAGGCCCCGCGGTGCAGGGCCTCTTCCCCTGGGGGGCCCGCCTGCTTCACGCCAAGCCAAGGCGCTGCAGCACCACCTGCAGGACGTGGTGGACGGCGCCCGCGTGGTGGCCTTCGGCTCCGCCGCCAACGGGCTCTGGACCTCGCACAGCGACCTGGACGTGTGCGTGCGGGTGGACGGGGCGACCACCCGCAACGCGCAGATCCAGGCGGGGCGCTCTGGCCAAGGCCTCGCCTTCCCCACGAGCCTGGCGTCGCGGCTCTCTCGCCACGGGCGATTCTGCCCTGTCTCGGGCCCCCGGGGCCCTCGCGGACGGCTCCGGCCCGAGGAGCGCCGCAGGAAGACGGGGTCCAGAGCTCCAGTCGAGTGCTTTCTGCGGGGTTGCACCTTTTGTCGCGACGTCGGATCTCTGGGGAGGGCCTCGCCTTCGGATCGAGGGCGCTGGCAGATGCTCCCCCCAGCGGAGGGCGGCGAAGGGGCGGCGGGAAGGCGGCGGAAGTAGAGCGAGGTCGCCTCCGCCCGCGGATTCCGGCGGACGCAGAACATGCCCCTGCTGTAGATCGAGTAGCAGATCGACCACATAATTGATTTATCCCAGAACCGTTTCTTGTTCCGTCTAACCCATGGAGAGAAGAGAGCTGCGTCTTTCTTTTGTAGATTCGACGGGGGGAACTCATTCTTGGGCAAGTCGATTCTGTCGTCGATCCTCTACTCGAACAGAGAGGTGCGATTTGTTGGTGTGCTCGTCGTGGGCGAACAAAAGCATACCCGTAGCCGCGGCCTCGCGGGCTGGGCCGCGGGGCCCCCCACACCTTTGCGGGTCCTCCCGTTTGTTTTTTTTCGCGACTGCCCCGCGCGGCAAACGCACCCGCGCGACCGCGCATCCGCGGAATCGTGCCCCGGCATGCAGACCGCGACAGACCGCGAGGGCGCGGCTACGGATGGGTTTGGAGGGTTTCTCCGAAGGGCTTAGGCGACCTGTCCTCCTCCTCCTCCTCCTTCTCCTCCCTTCTCCTCCATCTCCTCCTCCGCCTCCTCCTCCTCCTCCTCCTCCTCCTCCTCCTCCTCCCCTTCCCCCTCCCCCTCCTCCTCGGGTCGCCTACGGCCCCAGGGGAAACCGTGCAGATGGGTTCGCCCCTCGTGAGAGCCAGAGTTTCCTGAACCCGCCAGGTGCTGCGGACGATTGCCGGCGAGCTCTCCCGGGTGCCCAGCCACACCGTGGAGCCCCGCTACGGCGCCCAGGTGCCCATTCTGCACTGGGCGCCGAGGATCGGAGAGCAAGAAACGCATCAACTCAGGAGGGGGATCTCGGCATAACCATACGTTGACGCAGATTCTCATATCGGGAAATATGGGAAATGGAGGGGAAGAGGAGACTCCAGGCGACGGACCCAACCGTGTGCAGTTGTGAGTACAGCGTTGTGGGCACTGCTTTCGGTGAAGCTCCCTATGGGGCAACGAAGAGTGTGTGTAGTGTGCCCAAATTGGCGGGGAACCGCATGTAGGCCGTGCCACTCGGGCCTTCGGTGGAGTTCCCTGTGGGGCCACGAAACGTGTGTGGGGGTTGTGCTCAAATGGGCGGTGGACCGCATGTCGACCCTGCCACTGGGGCTTTCAGTGGAGCTCTATGGGGCCACGCAGCGTGTGAGAGGTGTGCCCGAACGGGTGGGGAACCGCATGTGGACCCTGCCACTGGGGCTTTCGGTGGAGCTCCCTATGGGGCCACGAAACTTGTGAGGGGTATGTCGAAATGAGCGGGGAACCGCATGTGGATCCTGCCACTGGGGCCTTCGGTCCAGCTCCCAAAGTGTGTCAGGGGTGTGCCGAAATGGGGCGGGGAACCGCATGTGGACCCTGCCACTGGGGCCTGCAGTGGAGCAGCTCCCCATGGGGCCAACACATAACCTTTCGGAGCTGGACCCCGGTGGCGGCGCCTCCTGCGCCGCCCCTGGCCAGATCCGCGCGCCAGGGAAGGGAACCTGGCGCCGACCCACGAAATCCGCGCGGCGCTCCGACGGTTAGTGCGTCTGTGCCGCTCTTGTGCCTCTTACGAGGAAGCGCGGCATGGTGGCGTGCGACATCTCGGCGGCGAGCTCCGGGGCAGGCCTCCTCAGAGGGCGGCGGGGCTTCTCAGAAGGCACGCCCCCTCTGCCGGTGGTCTTCGGGCCCCACCTCGGGCCTCGAGCGGCCGCTCGGGACGACCCCGACACCACCCCGAGACGCCCCAGGCGAGGCGCGGCCAACGCAAAGCGCCCCGAGGCCGGGCAACCGCCGAGGACCCTCGGGCTCCGCACCCGAAGCCCCCGAGCCTTTCTCGACTAGACGTAAGAGTGACCCTTCGCCGGAGTGACCTTTGGTGCGGGCACAGAGGGGTCCCCAGATGGCTGAACGCGCAGCAGGAGCAGCGGCCTGCGCGCCCAGGTTTGGTCCCCCCGCGGTCCCCCCAAAAGCCGCGCACCAAAGGTCACTCTTACCCAGGGTCTCACTCTGGCGTGTAGCCGACTCTCCCCCCCGGGCGCGCCGCCGGACATCAGCATCAACAACGTCCTCGCCGTGGTGAACTCTCAGCTCGTGGCGGAGTACATCGCGCTGGAGGAGCGGGTGCGGACGCTGGGGCTCTGCCTCAAGTCCTGGGCCAGCGCGCGCGGCATCAACGACCGGAGCCGCGGCACCCTCTCGTCCTTCGCGCTGATCCTGATGCTCATCCACTTCCTGCAGCGCCGAGCGGACCCGCCCGTGCTGCCGTCCCTGCAGGACATCGCGTTCGGCAGGGGCGAGCCCGCGATGCACGTCGGGGGCGTGGACTGCCGGTACTGCACCGACCGCGGGGAGGTGGCGAAGGAGCTGGAGTACCTCGGCGCGGGGAAGCCCGCCAACCGGGACCACGCGGGCGCCCTGCTGCTCCAGTTCTTCCGCTACTTCGGCCACGACTACCGGCACGGGGTCATACGCATCCGCAACACCGCGCCGCTGCTGCCCCCCGCGGCCGAGGCGGGGCAGTACCTCGTGGTGGACAACCCCTTCGAGCCGGGGAAGGACGTCGCCAACGTGGACTCGTCGCAGCACAGCGTCCTCAAGAAGGAGTTCCGCCGGGGCTGGAGCCTGCTGAGTCAGGGCAGCCCGCTCCCGGGAGGCGGCGACGGGGGGCGACTGGCCCAGGGGGGAGCATCCCCCCTTACATCCGACTTCACGAGCAAGAATGCAACGTCGCCAACGAACTCGACCAGAGCCCCGGGCCCCCTCGTGTTGCGGCACTTTTCGAGCTGGATCGATCTGTGCGGGCCTCGGGGCCCGAGAGAAGGCAGAATCACCCGTTGCGAAAAAGAGGCGACGCCAGGGTCTCAAGGGTATCCAGGGGCGCCGGTGATCTGTATCTTCGGCGAGGCTCCCTGGCGGATGCGTGTAATTTGAAAGCGACCAGGGGTCTGCGCTGGAGTGGCCCCGGCCAAGAGGGGGGACGAAAACAAATCCGCTCAAAATCGGTCCCCAGGCCCTTCCCAGGGTCGAAACTGACGAGTTCTTCGAGCCGCGTCCAGCCGTGGCGACGAGGGGGCCCCTTCCTCCCCCGTGTGCTGCTGGCCGGGGCCAGTGCTGGGCCACCTCAGCCCCCCAGCCAGCTCCAACGTGGGAAGCCCGCCTCTGGGTTCTTCGTCTCCACCGCCGCCCCCGGCGCTCTCGGAGCTCCTGCGGAGCCCCGGGCCGCGGTGCTGAGCGCGCGCGGCCGACGGGCCGCACTCGCGCCCGCGCGAGGCGCCGCGCCGACGGCGGCGGCGACAGCGACGGCGGTGGTTGCGGCGACAGCGACGGTGGTCGAACGACATCGGCGGCGGCAGCGGCGGCGACGGCCGACGGCGGCGGCGGCGGAGGCGGCGGCGGCGGCAGCGGCGGCGAGGGCGAGCTGGCCCACCCTGTGTGTCGGTGGTCGGCTCCCCCGTCCCCCTCTTGTGGGGCCGCGGAGGGCTGGTTTTCAGCCGGCGGCGCAGAGGATCCTCAGGCGCGAGCAGCAGACGGAGGTGTTATTTGCGATCGAACGTTGTCGAAGGCACAGTTCTCTCAGTGCAGCGATGGGTGGTGTGAAAGTGAAATCAAGTCAAGTAAGCCTTACACCGGCCGGTGCGTGAGCAAATTGGAACATTAAAAAGGCGGGCTGCCGGTCACACTGAGGTGACGCAGAGGAGAAGGAGGAGGAGGAGGATGAGGAGGAGGATGAGGAGGAGGAGTAGGAGGAGGAGGAGGAGGAGGAGGAGGAAGGGTGGGGGAAGAGGAGGAGGGGGAGGAGGGGGAGGAGGAGGAGGAGGAGGAGGAGGAGGAGGAGGGGGAGGAGGACAAGCTAGGTGCGCTCGCGTCATATCTGACATCCTACCCCTCCCTCCCATCCCTTACCATGGCGTAGATCCCCTCTCTACTCGCACAGTCGGATGTCGAGCAGGGCAATGATCCCGAAAGGGTACGCGATGCATTGTAGAGCACGGCATGGCATGGCGTAGAAGAGCACCGCAAAGCGTAGTATGTCACAGCATGGCGTGGCGTGGCGTAGTGAAGAATTGCATCACAAAGCTTTGCAACGCAAAGCATGGCATCGCACAGCGGCCCCGAACATAACATTGCATAGCATGGCGTTGAAGATCAAAGCGTAGCATGGCATAGCACGACGTGGCACTTAAGCACTGCATATCACAGCTTCAGCTGAAGGCATGGCATCGCGCAGCGGAACGCAACCTAGCATTGCATTGCATGCCGTGGCATGGCACGGGAAATGACGCCAGCGCTGCAGCGGGAGCACGATTCGGAACGAGCGGAAGCGCGGAAATGAGGCCAGCGCTGCAGCGGGAGCACGATTCGGAACGAGCGGAAGCACGGAAATGAGGCCAGCGCTGCAGCGGGAGCACGATTCGGAACGAGCGGGGCCCGAAAATGAGGCCGGCGCCTCAGCGAGAGCAGCATTTTGAAAAAAAATGCAGGCGAAAACCCAACTCCGGGGAATCCTGCGTGTAAAAAACAGTACGCGGGGGGGGGTGAACACTCCCAACCCGTCATCAGGGGAAGGAGGAGAGTAGTATTCATATTGAGTAATTGTGCAGGGGGGGGAGGGGGAGGGGGAGGGGGAGAGGGGGGGGGAGGGGAGGGGGAGGGGGGAGTGGGAGGGGGAGGGGGAAGGGGAGGAGGAGGAGGAGGAGGAGGAGGAGGAGGAGGAGGAGGAGGAGGAGGAGGAGGAGGAGGAGGAGGAGGAGGAGGAGGAGGAGGAGGAGGAGGAGGAGGAGGAGGAGGAGGAGGAGGAGGAGGAAGGGTGGGGGAAGCTGTAATTCCAAACGAAGCGTGCAGCGGCCAGACAACCAGGGAGGCGGATCAGCTCGAAGTCACGGATGGCTGGGCGCCTGCTGCCGAGGTCCTGCGCAGGGGGTGTGGCTCAGGGGCAACGTTCGGGTTATGATAGTCCAACCTACTTTAGCCTTGAATCGTGCCTGTCCCTCTACAGGGGGAATCTTATTCAAAACCTGTAAACAGTAGTACGGGGACGATTTTTATGAATATTTGTGAGTTTTAATATATATATATATATATATATATATATATCGGAGGTGAAGGGGTGAGATCGAAGTGGAACGGAGAGCCCCCCTACCGGGAAATCGATTTCGGTTTCGTGTTCGTGCGTGCCGTGCGGGCGAGGCGAAGCTGCGTGGGCGGGCGAGAGAAAGTCTCCTGTGGCTGAGGCGCGGCCGGACCAAATGACTCCCTTCCGGGCGGCCGGGGGCCCGCGGTGTCCCGCCGGTGTCCCGCTGGTGTCCCGTGTGGCTGAGGCGCGGCCGGACCAAATGACTCCCTTCCGGGCGGCCGGGGCCCGCGGTGTCCCGCCGGTGTCCCGCGGTGTCCCGCGGTGTCCCGCGGTGTCCCGCGGTGTCCCGCCGGTGTCCCGCGGTGTCCCGCGAGGATGATGATGATGATGATGATGATGATGATGATGATGATGATGATGATGATGATGATGATGATGATGATGATGATGATGATGATTGATGATGATGATGATGATGATGATGATGATGATGATGATGATGATGATGATGATGATGATGATGATGATGATGATGATGATGATGAGATGATGATGATGATGATGGTGTCCCGATGAAGATGATGATGTTGATGATGGTGTCGATGATGATGATAGTGTCCGATGATGAGGATGATGATGCTCATGATGATTATGTTGATGATGATGACGATGATGGTGTCCCGATGATGATGATGATGATGATGATGATGATGATGATGATGATGATGATGATGATGATGATGATGATGATGATGCTGCTGATGATGATGATGATGATGATTCCGATGATGTTGGTGATGATGATGTTGATGGAAATGGTGTCCCGGCGATAATGATGTTGATGATGATGATGATGTTGATGATGATTATGGTGTCCCGATGATGATGCTGATGATGATGGTGATGATGATGATGGTGATGCTGATGGTGTCCCGATGATGATAATAATGATGATGACGATGTTGATGATGATGTTGCTCATGATGATGATGGTGCCCCAATGATGATGATGTTGTTGATGATGATGATGATGATGATGTCGATGATGATGCGATGATCATGATGATGATGGTGTCCCGAGGATGATGACGATGTTGATGATAATGTTGATGATGAGAACGATGGTGATCATGATGGTGTCCCGATTATGATGATGATTCTGATGATGCTGCTGATGATGATGACGATGACTGTGTCCCGATGATGATGATGATGTTGATGATGAGATGATGATGGTGATGATGATGATGATGATGATGATGTTGTTGTCCCGATGATGATGATGACGATGATGATGATGATGCTGACGATGATGATGATGTTTATGATGATGGTGATGATGATGATGATGATGATGATGATGATGATGATGATGATGATGATGATGATGACGGTACCCTCATGATGATGACGGTGTTGGTGATGATGTTGATGTTGATGATGCTGATGAGGATGATGATGATGATGATGATGATGATGATGATGATGATGATGATGATGATGATGATGATGATGATGATGATGATGATGATGACGTTGATTGTGAGAACGATTGTGATATCGATAGTGAGATCGATATTGAGACCGAATGTGAGATCGATTGTGTGATCGATTGTGAGATCGATTGTGAGATCAATTGTGAGATCGATCGAATGAGATAGATCGAGTGAGATCGATTGTGAGATCGATCGAGTGAGATCGATCGAGCGAGACCGATAGTGAGATCGATACTGAGATCGATAGTGAGACCGATCGAGTGAGACGTTGGTTCCCCCCCCCGAACCTCCCTTTCGTAGGTGCTCTAAATTAGTTCTGGGATGTTGTCCGTAAGTACGGTGGGAGGAACATAACGTCAGGGGAGAATTTGCTTAGGGGGGTAGTTCGGCGGCGCGCCCGGGGGAAAGTGAGAGGGGGCGGACCTGCTCAGAAGGCTCGGAAGTCCCGCCGGCTTCTGAGAATTGTTCCACGCTTTCCCCGCAGACGCAACAAAACTTCTCAGAAGGCGCGAGGGCTTCTGAGAAGACCCGCCGTCTTCCGAGAAGGTCTTTTCCTTCTCACCTTCCCCCCTTTCACGCGCCGCCGAGTAGTGATTGCATTAACCCCCCGGTCGCCCGCTCGTCATCGAGAAAGGGGCCCGATCGCCCATCCTGCCCAGAGCGGTGCGGTTTCGCTATTGAGGGCCTATCGCCGACCTGTCGCCGATTTCAGGTCGATGTTTCTCCCCCACGAGCCAGGCTTCCCTCCTATTGTTCTCCCTCAGGGGTGGGGAGCTTGGGTCGCTCATTGGCGGCGAGCGAGGGGGGAAGCGAGAAGAGGCGGGCCTTCTCAGAAAACTCGGAAGTCCCCCCCGCATTCGAGAAGTTTCCTAAGCTCTCCGCGAAGACACAGAACACTTCTCAGAATGCGCGAGGGCTTCCGAGAAGTCCCGCCGCCTTCTGAGGGGGCCTTCTCTCACCGAGCGCATTCCACTACTCGCAGAGTGCCTACTCGCAAACGTCAGAGCAACATGTGTTTGTTTCGAGGAAATTTACCGTAGATCCCCCGCGGCGGATCCAGGCCATTTGTGCGTAGTTACTTTGCGAGTAGTGGAACGCGCTCGTGTATTCTTCTTCTCGTTTTACCCCCCCTACGGTTCATGCTGGTCCTGGGTTGTTATGTTTCGACTATTTTGGGGTATGTTTGGACTATTTTTGATGTTTCGCCCAGAATCCGCCTGTAGGGGGACATGCCCGACCTAAGGCTAGTCCCCCGCGAGACCCGAAGAAGCAGGCATCCAGGTGGGTCAGCCGGCCACGGGCCAATGCCACGCCAGTGGGTGTGGGGATCGGGCAAGGCTATGCTCAGTCGCGATTTGCCGCGGCGTTGGGTGTCCAGGGCCCCTCTGAGGTCCGCGCGCACATCTTTGCATCGGCGCTGGGCCCGCCTCCCTGTCGCGCGGAACGTGCCAGGGGCAGCGCCAGAGGCGCCGCCGGGGGGTCCCGCGCCGATCGAAGGAACCCGCGCGGACCTTCGACAGTTTATGCTGATGCTGGTTTTCTTCTTCTCGTCTGGGCTCCGTGGCACAGGTCGCAGGGGAGGAAGAACCACCCCTAACCCTCATCATTGACGTTCAGTCAACGGTCCTGGGCGTTCACTAGACAGCCCTGCGCTGTTCGATTCCTTCCTTGGGCGCGTTTGCTGAACGGCTTCTTGTCGGAGTGCTTGTGATGAGGGTGG